TCTTCCCACTTATCCAAATTCACATGACATAGAGACTGGCGCTGATTGGCTGAGTTAGAAGTAAACAAAAAATATACCCACAAACATATAGTTGAAATAAAACCTGAAAATAAGTTGAAATAAATATTTTGTACCGGGAAGCCGTAGAGGAAATTATTATTATATATTTTTCCTTGAAATAAGAATCAATAAAGTTTCGTTAACTGTCTCTATGGAATCGCAATCTTTTAATGGATATATTTGTTATTATATATTCTCAATTACCGGAATATTATAGACACCATAAAAGATAATAATAATAATAATAATAATAATAATAATAATAATAATAATAATTTGTATCATTATTTATCTATTTATTATAGTTTCTTCTCGTATTTCTTTCTTTATCTTTCTCTTATTATTTATGATCATTGTAACTGTGTCTGTCACCATTTTCTTATTTATTAAAGAGATAATTATTCATTGAGGTAATTATGTTTGTCTTGACCTTACACATGTAACTACTCTGGGAAATAGACACACGCACACGCACACACACGCACATGCACGCACACACACACACGTAAGTACAGATGGAGAAACAGATACACAGAGAGCAGACACACAGGAACACAGACATGTACACATACACACATTAACAGTTATACAGATAGACAGAGAGATAGACAGAGACAGACAGACATATTAACTAGGTATTACACTATAAACCCCCCGTTAGGATAACGTTTTCAAAACATTGTGTCAGTTTTCTTTTAATTAACCATTTTGCATTTTTTTTAAGGTCATAAACAAATAAATTTATTCACCAGGAATTTATGTTTTATTCAGAAATTTATTCCACAAAATATTAATCTTAAAAAACAGAATAAAATGGTTGTATTCGAAAGGTATTTTATGGCTAATTAGTTATAAAAGAAAGGTATTTCATGTTAGGATGCCAATAGCTGAAGGATACCAGAGCCTGTAGGTGAGGATCCTATGAAGGAGTTTTGTACCATAAGGATATTGAATTCCTTACCATAGGCCAGATAATGACTTTCAGGAGGTCGTTAGGTTAGGCCTCAGCTACCACAACAGGGGAGGGTGTTGATGCCCGCGTGAGTTGTGGCATTCTGAGGTAGCCGGAGTCGTCAACGTTCTCTACCAGCCTCCTGGCCTCGGTACAAGACTAGCGAGGTCATCTTAAGATTATATCTTGCGCGTGAGACCACACCTGGATTACGCAGTTCAGTTCTGGTCACCGTATTACAGAATGGATATAGAATCCTTGGAAAGAATTCAGAGGAGAGTGACAAGACTAATCCCGGGCATTAGGAACTTTGAGTACAGAGACAGGTTAAAGCAGGTTAAAGACAGGTTTTAAATTAGACAAATTTAGATTTAGGCGCGAAATAGGTAAACACTGGTTTGGAAACAGAGTAGTGGAGAAATGAAACAAGTTACCAAATATCATCATTAACTCGAATACGCTGGATAGCTTCAAACATAGGTTGGATGTTTATATGAGCAATAGGGGTTGGGTGTAAATGGGACTGCCCAGTATGGGCCAATAGGCCCGCTGCAGTTTCCTCCATTCTTATGTTCTTATGGTAGCCTCCGTAGCTGCCTCCACAGCCGCCCCTGTGACCGCCTCGGTAGCCAGAACGACCACGGGAACCACGACCGAATTTCCTGAACTTATTGAAGAAGAATGGCTCCGGGTCGGCGACGGTATCGGCGTTGACGGAGGTAGCACGGACAGCGCCAGCAGGAGGGCCAAGACCAGACGGAGGAGGAGGATCAACACGCTACAAGAGCCACTATACACCTGAAGAAAATTAACTCCGAAAGATATTAAATAATTTATAATAATATTCTTGAAGTCAAAAACCCCGGTAGAATAATATTTAAGAATAATTTCATAAATAATTACTTCGCCTAAGCAATAACTAATACCATTAACCCTATTCCTACGTATATCAACATTTAATTAGATCACCTGTTGTCACATGTTACCTGGCAGGTATTTTGCAATCATAATAGAATTTGTTTATTAAGTTTTCTTGGGTAAAATAGGGAGGTAAACGGATCGCATGTAGATAAAACCCCCCAGTCTATTTCACCTGAAGATTAATCACCTTAACGCTATCTTGGTGGGGTTAGGTGAGGTTAATTTAGGTTACGTTACATTAGGTTAGGTTAGGACAACATTAGGTTAGTTTACATTACGTTAAGTTAAATTAGATCATTCAAGTGGTTAACTTCAACTGATCCAAGAAAACAGACGGAAGTTAAATTTGGTGATCGTAGCTGTTACGTGTTCTAGTGTTATTCCCTTTAAATTTACAATGAAAAGAATTGCGTTTTTCCCCGACCGACAGTAAGCGTATCAGAGGCTTACGTTGGCGGCTTATATGTGCATGTTTTGGGGTGGTAGGTTAGGTTAGGTTAGGTTAGGTTGTGGCCACGGTGGAATTTCCTGTTCGACTTTAGGCTTAACCTCTTCAGAATACATGTTTATTTCCTCACTTACTTATTTACTTACAAACTTATAAACATAATTTCGGATACTTAAATCACAGTTCGACCATACTTAGAATATGTCAAATATAGGTAAATCACTTAACATTATATTTTTATACTTGCTACTTAAAATTCACTTTAAACGCTTATATGTAAACCAACGAGCGTAAGTTCTTCCACACACACACAGAATATGTAAAGTATAAATGTACATCAGATTACTTTAGATCCATTACACACTTTAATACTTACAAACTTCATATTGGGGGGATTTGAGGAGAGCTGTGTGGCAGACGACTATTAAGCCCAGGTGACGTGTGTCAGTTCCCAGGTGTGTCGTTCAATTTATACCTCTCACCTGTCAGTTGATTGGATAAACATGTCATATAGGGATTTTACCTGAATATTTTAGCCTCTAGGTACTACCATAACATTGGTTTAGGATGGAAATTTCGACCCTATTGTTGTAGTGATTGTTGGGTATATCGAATGAGCTTGTTAGGTGGTATGAAGTAGTTGTTACCTGTAGGATGTTGTACCTAGGCGATGATTTAGGCAGTTGTTAATCTATTGGAGGTAAAGGCAGGGGGTGGGTGGGGGATTGCCCTCAGAAGGTTACTGCTACTACACAGGCAATGCTACTTTTATTGTTCTTATTATTGTCTTTTCTTGTTCTTCTAGTACTTTTTTATTATTTTTCTTCTTGCTCTTGTTTTTATTCTTTATTTTCTTTCTCTTTCTGACTTCTCCTCCACCCCGCTCTTCTTTAAACCTCATTAGTATTCATAACATTATTGCAGCTGCTCTTCTTCATCAACCAGAGAACCGTCTTCAAAGTTCTCCACCGCACCCACAGCTGCCTCTGTCAGCCTCAGGCAACACGGGAGAGCAATAAGATTTCACTCTAAAAGATTAATTGTAGGAAAGTCTAACCATTCCCTCCTCCCTCAACTAATTTGCTCTTAAAACAACAATATTATTTTAACCTACATTTAAATAACTTTTGTTGCCTCTACAAGATATAGATTCAAAAAATCTGTAATCCATTTGGTCATAAATGTTTCTACAAAGGAACACCTTACTTAGAACATAAATTCACCCTATTGAAACTTTGGTATTTTCATCTGGCTCTCGCTAGACGATTACACTCAGCTGAGGAAACTTCGTCTATATTGTCAAAGTGTTATTCTGAAATGTAATCTCTCCTAACTGATATACTGAACACACTTTCCTTCCTCACCCCGAGTTCCCCGTCTACCCCCCCCCCTCTCCTGAGAAAGACACCTACTCCGACACACCCTCCCTCCCTCCCCCACTGGGCGAGTAATTCGAATTCACACTTCAGGGAGGATTGGCAACGCTAAGTGGAAAACGGAAAAGTGGAGCCAACTGCACATATAATTTTGATTAGGTAATAGATGCTCAGTGTGGATACAGCTTTAGTATATCAGCTACCTTGTCATCAGAGATAAAGTGCTGTGCCAATACACAGTCTGGTTGGATTTGTCCAAATGGACTTTTCAGCAGTCTAAGACGTAGTGTTGGAGTGTGTGGCGATATGTCTGATTGTCTGGCCACACACTTTACATTTAGTCTTGTTCACATCTGCCTGAGAGACATACTGCCAGAGGTACATATATCCTAACCTTAGTCTAGCGGTTACAACATCTTGTAATCTAGTGATCTTGTTACTTGCTCCATATACATGTTTCACTTGATACATCTCATCATGGTAAACAATGACTGGTCGGTGTGTGAGAGGGTGAGGAGGGTCAGAGTATAGGGGGGTGGGAGAGAGTTAAGGAGTTACCTGTACAACTACAACGCAGGATACATTAAGCAAGGATATAAATACGTTGTGCAAATCACAAATTATGAGCAGAATGTGTTCCCGCACATTAGGTAGGTATGATCAGCTTGTGCTACAGGTCTGAACCATTCTATGCATATTTACTGCTCAGAATTTACGAGATAATAGGCCGCTGTGATAACAACACATCCCCCCCCCTCCCCGTCTGTCTCGTCGACAGAAATCTGAGGATTAATAGAGCGTAATGTGTGAGGGTGAAACTGGCTGGTGTCTGCAGAGCCAAACAAACCTGGCGAGGGGTGACGCAGTACCAGCTTCTGGGAATTTGAAACATTTATTATGATACTAAAATTTCCCAATTCAGCTCTACTTAGTAACTAAAAGTTATTAAAACAATTTAATATAAATAAATTATTAAGAATTATATTAACACTTATTTGGATTTTCTCTTAGATATATATATATATATATATATATATATATATATATATAAATATATATATATTTTATTTATTAATTTTTTTAAGATAATTTCTTTTATGTTTTCAGCCGTTTTCTATGACTTTCACGCTTCCAGACATACAGTACAGTACGGTTCTCACGGGTTCTTTATTTACATATTACCGTCAAGCATTACAACTAACACTCACACTCATCTCATAATAGGATAACAAAACTCCTGAGACAATATTTTTATAATGTATTTTGTATAAGAGTCGAAAGTTTGGTGTACATGTTAGCCTTAAGACAGAGAGCGACTCTCACTTACTGGCGGGGGTCACAACACAAGAGGGAGGAAGGACCTTTAGTAGAATAGTTGAGGCTCCAGCCACCAGGAGGATACAGAGAAGACGTTGAGAAGAATATCCATAAAGTTGATGGCAATCTTCTCAAGGCGTTCTTGTGTTGTGTTAGCTCAAGATGTTCCTTACTAGCCGTGTCCGTAGCCGCCATGATGGATGTACACAGGTCGTGCGACGCGGTGGAAGGAGGGACGACGATGCCCATGTCCGCCGAATTTCCTCTTCTTGAACTTCTTGAAAGGTTCTGGGTCGGCAACGGGGTCAGAGCTGACGGAGGTGAGCACCGCCGACAGCACCAGCAGGAGGGCTAGGGCCAGGTAAGCCTGATGGAGGACGAACATAAAGAATTGACAAAAAAATCCAGGAAAATAGGTGAATTATTTGGGTTTCTTATACACACAATAATCTAGACATTTATTGTAGAGAAACTGTACGGCCAGGGTGGTGAGGGTCCACTATACAACTGACAAACAGGTTATTTGTTTATATAAGAAGATTAAAGTTACAAGGAATTGATATAACTGAGCCCAGAAAAGAATCTGATGCCCTGGAGTACACACACACACACACACACACACACACACACACACATCCTCCTGTAAATGTGTTTTGGATCCTTCTGTCACCCGCGGCTCAAACAACATCTTCAGACAAGACTAAATATTTAGCATCAAAAGATGAGACGAGACGAGTTGTTTCTCTCTGTCTCCTGAACCTCACTCATAATGGGACCAGTGGGAGTGACGCCATTTATGTACGTAAGACTTTAGGCAGAAGGTCACACATCACTGTTTCTGCCTGACGGGGAAAATCATTAAAACACTCCTGAGGTGCGACTCCCAAATACGGTCTGGTCCACTGGGGTGTTGATGGTCTCACTCCCTTCTAGCGGTAATGACGGGAAACTTGTTCACCATTATAGATAACAACCATTGAGGCTCGAACCTTTAAACTTCCAAGTGAGAGACGAACACGCTATCCACTAAGCTACCAAGTTTTACAATAGGAAAAGATTACATAAACTTTGTTGTATTTTTATTTGCTTCAGGATCGAGAGATTTACGAATTACGAGGACACCCAACACTGTAACTTTTTAACACGTCTCTGAGTGTCCACGTTAGTTGTGTGTGATTGTTGGAGTGAGTTATGATGTTATTACTGCCCTTCAACAACTAAGGTCTTCATGTGCTTTACTAGATTAGAAATTACGTTTGTTGTTAATAATTTGTAATTACGAAAGATGGAACGCTATGTTGGACTGAGTAACTGACTGAATGACTGACTGATTTATTCACTGATTGGTGTCATACGGAGTCACTTATTGAGTGACTTACTGACTCGTGAATTGAATACCGAGTCATTTACTGCTTTCACTGATTGGTTGATTCATTTACTCACTAACTGGCATATTCATTGAAAAACTGACTCATTCATTGATGATTGACTGACTCACACACTGACTCACTGACATACAGACAGATTATAACACCTCCTCTCCTTCTTTGGGACGAGTTAATAAATCATCACCGTTCCTAAACACTAAAGCGATAATTTTCACTTGTTCAATGTATCACTGAAGGGTTCTGGTCACGGGTCGTCCAGCGTGAACCATCAGTTGTTGTAGCAACCTCACTCTCACCACAAGATAATAAAATGAAGGGAATGTGGAGGCAGAGTGGATACGGCTTTCGTTTCCTCTCCTAAGGGTAGCTGGAAAAGCATCCCTAGTCAACCCGGCTGTGAATGGGTGAGTGAAGATGGTGGAGTGCCTAGCCACCTGGTAAGTATGCAGTATGCTGTATTCACACTGCCCCTAATTGGTTGTCAAGCCCACGGGACTCGCTTCAAAATTAAACGATGGAAAGATCTCTCAGAATTAAAAATTTGAATATTATTGAAGAATTTTGTATCCCACCGCCACTGCAAAGTCTTACGTCAATAATTCACGATATCTACCCCTTGAGTAGTGATTTAGCTGAGTACGTTGATCACTCTACTCAACTGGCCAAGTCACTGTATTCAAGGCTTTAAAACTGGATTGCTTGAAATACTATACCATTTATCTTACACCCCCTAAAAAAAGAAGAAAATATTGTAAGTCAATAATCGAGAGGTGTCAAATACTTACGACTTTCATATTGAAGATTCGTGAGTATTGTGGATCCAACAAGGAGCTCAGCTGCTCTGTGACATTTTCAACTGGGGCGACGATATTTATACCTTCACGCTGAGGGCAGGGGAGTTGGATGGTGATTTTTTTCCTTCTCCTTTAAGAGTGTCAGAGACATTGGATCAACACAGAACTCTCAACTTTAATAACAAACGTGAAATTCTCGAGTTGTGTGTTGATGGTACCTGGTGAACCCTCCTCCTGTGCCATAACTGTGGTAATCAGTTAAAAAATATAATAACACAGCACTTATAGTCTTGAAGGTCGGAGGAAATTCCCATTGTAGTCACATCATCGCCATCCTGGATTACCCGTTTGATCCCACCTCCTGGCCTGTGTCTGTTTTTATTATGTTTTTTTTTTATATTTTGTTTGTCTGTGTTTTTATTTTGTGTTAGGTCGTGCATGTGTGTGTGTGTGTGTGTCTATTTATATGTGTGTGTAGCGGTATACCGTTTAAGGTGTGTTCACTCCCATGTGTGTTTATGTCCGCTTCTGCGCAGATACGCTTATTCAATACAGTGTATATAACTTTGCTTATTGGAATATTTTTGTATTGCAAAATGTATGCGGACATCACACACACACACACACACACACACACACACACACACACACACACACACACACACACACCTTGCGTGTGTGTCTCAGAGGATGGGAACATCTACAGTAATTGTCGTGCCTAACAACAAGGTCATGAGGATTTTAAGTGATGGACGACCAAGACGACCCATCTGACTCTTACCTGGGGAGGACCTACCTGATGGGGAAGACCTACCTGATGGGGGAGGACTACCTGATGGGGAGGACCTACCTGATGGGGGAGGACCTACCTGATGGGGCAAGACTACCTGATGGGGAAGGACCTACCTGATGGGGAGACCTACCTGATGGGGAAGACCTACCTGATGGGGAAGCCTCCTGATGGGGAGGACCTCCTGATGGGGAAGACCTACCTGATGGGGAAGACCTACCTGATGGGGAAGACCTACCTGATGGGGGAGGACCTACCTGATGGGGGAAGACCTACCTGATGGGGGAAGACCTACCTGATGGGGAAGACCTACCTGATGGGGAAGACTACCTGATGGGGAAGACCTACTTGATGGGGGAAGACTCTTGATGGGAGCCTGATGGGGAAGACCTACCTGATGGGGAGGACCTACCTGATGGGGAAGACCTACCTGATGGGGAAGACCTCCTGATGGGGAAGGACCTACCTGATGGGGAAGACCTACTTGATGGGGAAGACCTACTTGATGGGGAAGACCTACCTGATGGGGGAGGACCTACCTGATGGGGAAGACCTATTGGGAAGACCTACCTGATGGGGGAGGACTACCTGATGGGGAAGACCTACCTGATGGGGGAAGACCTACCTGATGGGGAAGGACCTACCTGATGGGAAGACCCTTGATGGGGAGACCTACTTGATGGGAAGACCTACCTGATGGGGAGGACCTACCTGATGGGGAAGACCTACCTGATGGGGAAGACCTACCTGATGGGGAAAGACCTACCTGATGGGGAGGACCTACCTGATGGGAAGACCTACCTGATGGGGAAGACCTACTTGATGGGGGAGACCTGCTTGATGGGGAAGACCTACTTGATGGGGAAGGACCTACCTGATGGGAAGACCTACCTGATGGGGGAAGACCTGCCTGATGGGAAGACCTACCTGATGGGGAAGACCTACCTGATGGGGGAGGACCTGCGTGGGAAGACCTCCTGATGGGGAGGACCTACCTGATGGGAGACCTCCTGATGGGGACCTCCTGATGGGGAAGACCTGATGGGGAGGACCTCCTGTGGGGAAGACCTACCTGATGGGGAAGACCTACTTGATGGGAAGACTACCTGATGGGAAGACCTACTTGATGGGGAAGGACCTAGCCTGATGGGGGAAGACCTACTTGATGGGGAAGACCTACCTGATGGGGAAGACCTACTGATGGGGAAGGACCTACCTGATGGGGAAGACCTACTTGATGGGGAAGACCTACCTGATGGGGGCCTACCTGATGGGGGATTGATGGGGAAGACCTACTTGATGGGGAAGGACTACCTGATGGGGAAAGACCTACTTGATGGGGGAAGACCTACTTGATGGGGGAAGACCTACCTGATGGGGGAAGACCTGCTTGATGGGGGACGCCTGATGGGGAAGACCTACTTGATGGGGGAAGACCTACCTGATGGGAAGACCTACCTGATGGGGAGGACCTACCTGATGGGGAAGACCTACCTGATGGGGAAGACCTACTTGATGGGGAAGACCTACCTGATGGGAGGGCTACTGATGATGGGGGAAGACCTACCTGATGGGGAAGACCTGCTTGATGGGAAGACCTGCACCGTGGGGGAGGACCTACCTGATGGGAGAGACCTACCTGATGGGAAGACCTGCCTGATGGGGAGGACCTGCCTGTGGGGAAGACCTACTTGATGGGGAAGACCTGCCTGATGGGGAGGACCTGCCTGATGGGGAGGACCTACCTGATGGGGAAGACCACCTGTGGGGGAAGGACCCTGCCTGATGGGGAAGACCTACCTGATGGGGAAGGACCTGCATGGGGGGAAGACCTACCTGATGGGGAAGACCTACTGATGGGGAAGACCTACCTGATGTTACAGTGCTCAGAGTTACATTGAGGTGGCGTAAAAGTGAAGATATAATTTTGTATCTTTTTTACATAATAACAACGTACTGTACACATGACCTAACGACAGACAGACAGACATAGACAGACAGACAGACATAGACATAAAAATGATGACACCTTTAAACACCTCAATTGACCCGTTAATCACCTCGGAGTCAAACTATTACGGCCCCAAAGTTGTAATTGTTACCATACAAGTTATAATTGAGTGAGGTGATAAATTATATAACCTCATTAATCTGGTTAACTCTGGGTTGTGTTGTGTTGTGTTATTTTAGGTTGTGATTCAGGGTTGTGTGTGAGTATGTTGTTTTTGGTAGTAAGTTATTGTTGTTGTTATTATGTTGTTGTTGTTGTTGTTGTTGTTATTATTATTATTATTATGTTGTTGTTATTATTTTTATTATTGTTATTGTTGTTGGTCTTGTTGTTACTGTTATTATTGTTACTGTTGTTATTATCATTGTTATTGTGTTGTTGTTGTTGTTATTGTTTTTATGTTATTGATGTTGCTGTTGTTATTATTATCATCATCATTATTTTAACCACAATTAAAACTGTTCACATCACAAAAAAAAAACACCAACACGAACCCAAGAGAAAAAAAAACTGAATATAAATTTATAATTTATTCTCTTACACTGATTTTTATATATAAACAACGTGACGTCATAACAAGTGTATTATGACATCATTTTATTGGTTCTCTCGTGAATATTAATGACGTCAAAGTTGCGTCGAGTTAAAGACTTCGGAAACACCTCTCACACCTCACCTCTCTCACCTCACCTCTCTCACCTCACCTCTCTCACCATTTCCTCCATCATTTCCAGACACTCCCTTATGACCTGGCCTCAACCTGCCTGCCTTTCGCTCTCACCACCACCATTTACGAGTCAGGTAACGATGAACAATATGGTGACGATGTTTTAGCCTTGAAGCTCTATACGTCTGGGAACAAAAACATGATTTATTATACTTCGCCTTACGCAAAAAAGTTAATCCTTTGAGTATGATGATAGGGTTTAAGTCATCGTATTCAAGGGTTATAGTCATCATGCTCAAGGGTTTCAGTCATTATGCTCAAGGGGTTAAGTCATCGTACTCAAGGGTTTCAGTCACTGTGCTCATAGGGTTAAGTCATCGTATTCAGGGTTTAAGTCATCGTACTCAAGGGTTCAGTCATTATGCTCAAGGGGTTAAGTCATCGTACTCAAGGGTTTCAGTCACTGTGCTCATGGGGTTAAGTCATCGTAATCATGGGGTTAGAATCTATGCAAAGACACACACATATATAAACATAAATAATATAGCACACACACACACACACACACACACACACGTTAATTATATCCTTCACACTAATCTAATTATATTAACGTGACTTAGCACCATCCGTTCTCCAAGACGACACAGACAAACGACTTAGGCCTTGAGGTAGGAGAAGCGGGCGACAAAACCTTCATAATATAGTTACACCTGAGAAACAATTAACCTAAATGATGTCTTTAAAAACGTAATGAATGATTGAATGTAATTGGCTCTTTAAAAAGGTAATTATAGTAAAAGTGTGTTGTAGTGGCTGTAGTAGTTTGATTTTGAGGTTTTATTGTGATTAGATGATTAGGGAAAATATATTAGAGGTTTTGTTTTATTGTCTTGTAGAGGTGATGTGTCAGCTGATGAACCAAAACAATGATCAGCTGATGAACCAAAACAATGATCAGCTGATGAACCAAAACAATGATCAGCTGATGAACCAAAACAATGATCAGCTGATGAACCAAAACAATGATCAGCTTATGCTCACTCCATGTATCATATCCCCTCCAATATTACCACATTAAGGACAGTTCAAACACATAATATGCTCCATCCACGCTCCACACGTCCTCCACTCCACACACCCATGCTCCACACCTCACACTTCACTCAGCCCACGCACCCATGTAAGCCAGCCCCACTCTTTAGCCCCTATGGACTATCGCGTCTCCCAGCCCTCATCCTGGAGGAACCCTCTCCTACCTCCCTCCTCCTCCTCCTCCTTCTCTTCCTCTTCCTCTTCTTCTTCTTCTTCTTCTTTCTTCTTCTTCCTCCTCCTCCTCTCTCTCCTCCCTCCTCCTCCTCCTCCTCCTCCTCCCTCCTCCCTCCCCTCCTCCTCCCTCCTCCTCCTCCTCCTCCTCCTCTCCTCCTCCTCCTCCTCCTCCTCCTCCTCCTCCTCCTCCTCCTCCTCCTCCTCCTCCTCCCTCCTCCTCCTCCTCCTCCTCTCCTCCTCCCTCCTCCTCCCTCCTCCTCTCCTCTCTCCTCCCTCCTCTCTTTTCTCTTCTCTCTCTCTCCCTTCCTCTCCTCTCTCCTCCTCTCCTCTTCTTCTTCTCTCCCTCCTCTCCTCC